TTTATTCATTTTTCCTATTTTTGTTCTGCCTCAGGTTCCTCCTCTCCAGCCAATAGGACCAGTCGGTGTCCCACCTCCAGGATTCCCAGGACCCATGAACATCCCACCCCCCTCATTCCCACCTGGAGTTCCCCCACCCCCGGGTCCTTTTATACGCCCAGGCTTTAACCCAATGCAGATGCCACCAGGTACAGCAGTACTAGTGACACAATGTTATTTGAAGTTTAATCATAAGTGTGTTGTCAGGATAGATGTTTTGTTTTCAGAGAAGTATTGTACCAGTTACTAACATGCATTATTCTTTGTTTCAGGATTTCTCCCCCCGGGTGCCATGCCTCCTCTGGGCGCCACTGGGCCTCCTCCACCTACAGCAGGGATTGGCATGCATCCAGGTGGGCGGTCTTTATTGTATAAACCCTACCTAATTTTATTTTTATGGGCGTGACCAGTAAGCCAGTGTTTAATTTCTTAAAATTTCTCATCTTGACAGCAACACTGACCTGATTTTTTCCCCCTGTAGTTGGCAGCTCAGTTGAAGACCTGTCGAAAGACCCAGCAGGTATGGGCCCAAGAATCAACAGTGATGGAATAGAGGGGTTCAGCTCAGGCGAGTATTTATGTCTTTCTGTAGATTTATTAATCACAAAATGTTATGAAATATTTTTTTAAACATAGTTTAAAAGTAATTTATTCCTGTGAGAGCAAAGCTGTGATTTTTCAATAGCCATCACTCCAGTCTTCAGTGTTACATGATCCTTCAGAAATCATTTTAATAAAATAATTTGGTGCTCAAGAAACATTTCTTATCAACTTATTAAAACGTTAATTTTTTTAGGATTCTTAGATGAATTGAAGTTTAAAAGAGCAGCAATTATTTAAAACAACATTATAAAAGCCTTTACTTTTTAATAAATTATTAATTTCTTTCAAAAACACCTTACTAATCCTGAACTTTTAATCAATAGTGTAGATAGATAGATAGATAGATAGATAGATAAATAGATGTATTTCAGTTGATATTGTATATTTAATCTCATTTCCTCCATTTTTTTTTTCATTGTTACATTTTGCCATCATCTAACAATAAATTTAGCTTTAAAAACAATAATAAATTACAATAATAATAACACTTGCATCACAGTGCTGAGTTCAGCATGGACAGGCACTCTACACTATTTTTTTTATGGTTGATTTATGATTTTATGATCGTCTTTGTGAAGTCATTTCATTGTTATTTCATTAACTCTGCAGGAAACCAGGTGCCTCCTGGAGGTCCAGCAGGGATGGGGATACAGTCTCCACCAGGTCTTCTAGGTTCAAGGCCAGGTATGATGCCTCTCCAGCGGCCTCCAGGGATGCCATTTCCACACATGCAGCGCTTCCCCATTCCACCTCCTCGGCCTGGCATGCCACCCATCCCTCCACAGATGATGCCACCAAGGGGTCCACCTCAGATGATGCACCGTGAGCCACCACCAGGGGGCTTCAGCATGCCGCCCCCTCCTCATGGCATCAGAGGCCCCTTCCCCCCTCCTGGTCCTCCCTTTATGAGGCCGAGCGGACCCAGACCAGATGGGCCAAATGATCACGAGGCGAGGCCATTCAGAGGCGAGCGCCCCGGTTTAGGAAGGGGCAGAGATCGAGAACAGGACTGGTATGGAGGGCGACGGCCTTTTGGCGAGGGGCGTGGTGATGAGAGGCCGGATGGTCATGAGCGATTTGGAGGCTGGCACGAGGAGCCGGAAAAACAAGGCGGGTGGGACAGAGAGAGAGAACGCAGGGACTGGAGGAGAAGTCCGAATGGAGAGAGGGATCGAAATAGAGATAGAGATCGAGGACGGGATAGTGAAGAACGGTCGAGGCGCTCTGCAGGTAGCAGAGAGAGGAGCACACGCTGGGACCGAGATGATAGACTCGATCGACTGGGTCTCACCAGTGAGGAAACCAACGAGAGACTTGCAGCAAATACCAACGAGCCCAGTGCAAATGCTACTAAAGAACTTCCTGAAGCCAAGCCAGATGTTCCAACACCTTCCACCATAGCCACAGCAGACTCAAAAGCCTCAGAACGTATTACAGAGAACAAATCTGCCAAACAAACACATACGGAAGAATCATAGAGGCCTCTTTATATTTCAAGACCATATGAGCTTCTCACATGTCAGTGCTAATCTTGAATACTGCTGGCTAGAAAGCAAAGTCCAACTATTGTGGGATGCTTTATGCATATGATGCTTGGTTCTTCATCCCAAACCAAGTTTTTCAGGCTTTATAAAGCGTATTTTGGCAAACGTGGAGCGTTGCCTTGTGAATTTATTGTCCCACCTCAATGAAGCTTGAATGTTGTATTAAAACTGAAGTTAAGGAAAAGAAACTATTAATGTTTCTGCTGTAAATATGCTAACATTACTCGAATAATGTTTGTAGATTTTGACTGGCAGTTTTTTGTTTTTCATTTTACAATGATATCCCTGTTGAGTTTCAGTAATGGAAACATTGACTAAAATAAGATATTAAAACCCTTTTGCTGTAATGTTTTCTAACTTAATTTTTACAACATACAAAAAAAAAAAA